ACCCAATTCTTATGTATTTACATATCTAACACCTAAACTTACTTTTTACACTTATACCACCCAAATATTTCATATCAAATAAAAAATACCATTATTTTAACTTTTAAAAGTGAAATATACATTTTTATACATAAGTTAAAAAAAACCAAAAAGCAAAAGGGGAAAAAAAAAAGCAGCAAAGATGAATTCTCATATATCCTCAACTATAAACAATCAAGCGCATAAACAAAGGCCTCATTTAACACAATTTACTGTTTCCCATTCTTAAAGTAGAAAATTCCAAACACACAAGAACATAAATATGTTACTATGACTCTTAAAGATTTATATACATACCACACAATTCTTATGTATTCACAAATCTAAAATCTTGTTGAATCCATTTGGGACAATCTTGTTGAATTCATTTGGTTTGGATCTTGTATAATCCGTGAACACGTACAACTCGTCAGAAGATCCCGTATAATTATAGAATTGATGGAGAACATGAAGTAAGGTGCAGAGAAAGAATGAAAATTCTCGATGGAGACCTTGGAAAAGCGTTTATAATTTTGAACTTCGATAAACCGAAGATGGGAGATTCCACATAGATGTCTCAAGCTCCCTAGAGAGAGAGAGAGAGAGAGAGAGAGAGAGAGAGAGAGAGAGAGAGAGAGAGAGAGAGAGAGAGAGAGAGAGAGAGAGAGAGAGAGAGAGAGAGAGAGAGAGAGAGAGAGAGAGAGAGAGAGAGAGAGAGAGAGAGAGAGAGAGTATGAAATTTGAAGCCAATAATATAAGCAATAAAATACACGAACAACATAACCTAACTAGGTACAATAACATGCCACATCTGAGAACATTTCATCATACAAATTGAGTTAGCAATTTTCTGGCACAGTAGGCAATCCAAACTAGGAAAATTCTTAAGCCATGTCAAATATATGAATTAGATGGTCCAATAACAAGACAAAACATATTGCTTAGATCTCGGAATAAAAATTTGGAGATGCTACAAGAATTTGAATTAAAACACAGATCACATACAATACATATAAAAATTGGGTAATTATTTCCTTAAAACCTACAACTCTTCAACTAGAAAGCATAAAATTATCTTTTTCAAAAGAAAAACGTTCAACAGAAAGTAGACTTTTTTTTATTCTAATAAAAAATGAATATTTTCTCACTATAAAATATCAAAGGCCTTGAGACAAAGCAAAGCCGAATTTCTATTCAAATAAAAGAAATTACAACTATTTAATTTATTTGAAGGAGACAAAAGAGAATTACCTTCCAACTCAAATGGAAAAATTATAAACTTGGCTAAATTACAATAAATTTTTCTATAAATGGCTCCAATACAAAAGTTTCTTTATTTTTTTATTTTACAAAATAGAAACTTATAAACAAAATGATGCAAGTATTAAGGCTTGAATAAGCAATCAAACAATTTTGAATCAAGCATACATTCTCTATTTCTTGCGGAAATAATCATCATCCTCCTTACAACCAACACCTCATTAATATTCATAAGTGAAATGGTAGAGGACGATTCAGAAGAATGGAAGACATTAGGTGGCAGACCAGATTCAAGAACCCAATATTCACGAAGGAGATTGAGATTGAAGTCAAGGTCGAGATTGAAGTTGAAAATAAGATCACCATTGAATTGCTGCATGAGAATGTAGCAATAGTTGTTTTTTGTTGTTGTAGGGCATTAAATCATGCTTCCAAATCAACCAAACTATTACTTAGAGCTGTGTTCAAACTCACCGATCATAGGTGATGTTGAAGGAACATTGACCAGCTGCAAAAGAGACTTTGACAAACAGGATGTCAAACTATGTTGAAGTAAAAACACATTATTAATACGATAAAATTATGTTAGATCCTATTAAATTGTTTTCATGCTAATAATCTATTATTAAAAGTGCACCCAATCAAGTAACTCTCATCGATTCTGCTAGCATATTCGCCCACGCACTTACTCACAAATTTGATAAGCACTTTTTATCAAGCTCCATATTGCGTAGACAATGAGTAAGCCATAAGTCATTCCTCTTTTCATTTTTTATTTTGTGAACATTCATGATGTACCCACGAATTTTAGGCAGCATAGCCTCGACATGTGTTTCAACATTAATATTGATGAATGATTGTTCTGGAATTTCATATAGTCGATGTAAGGAAGCATAAGCTGGTGGATTTGCTTTGATGTGCTCAATCTATGTCTGCATCACATCATAATCATCACTAAAAAATCTATCAACAATCAGACAGACAAGAAGAGTTGCACGCAAATGCCTCACAATATCTGTTATCATTACTTTTTGTACTGGTGGTAGAGTTACATCTAATCTCAATGCAAGTGGGTTCGTTAAGAAGCGATGATAACCCATCACCCGCATCATCAAGTAGATCTGTGTCAAACCAAATGGATGTGGACCAATACGAACTATTACCTCTTTATGAGCTAACATGAAATTGATGTAAATAGAGTTCATATCTGCCCTTAGAGCATTAATGTACGATGTACAACTGCGCTTCATATTAATGTTTTTAGGCATGAATGTGTGGTCTTTAGAAAGATGAAATAACCCAAACTTTGACAAAAATATTTGTGTAGATTGAGATCAAAAGTTGATGGTAGTCCACTTGAAATTGATTCACGGCATAAAAATGTGATTTGTTTGGTTGAGCGGTTGTAAAAGTTTATTCGACAAGTGTTAGTGAATTTGTTGCAAACAACAAACCAATTCCAAGACCATAAGCTCTTACGTATGCAACAAGTGGATATTTCTCTACTGCTTCATTGTTTAATGCAATAATAAAGCGAAGGTAGAATCTTCTTAACTTGTTCTTCAAATGTTCGTTTAGCTCTTCATAAGATTTAGCCCAAGCCTCATCTTTTACTTGCATTTCAACATGGTTTAGTCTGCTTACATCACGAATGTCACAATTAAATTGACAAGATTCACTAAATGCGCCCATTATAATATAATGAATTTTAGGTGAGTCATAATCAAAACCAGCATACTGTTATGATTGTTGTCATTCTTTGAAGATTTCATTTCTTGGCTGCAACTTGATAGCATTTACTATAAATCTCACTTATTGTTTAATGTGTGTTGGCAGTATCAATTTACATATATTAACATATGTTAGTTGAATATCTCGCCAATATCGTGTAGTCAACTCATTATGCGCTTGCACTCTACCTTCATGTTAGACAACGATGGGCAATAAGAATGATCAACTTTTGTATATTGTGATGATACTCAACGTTTGATTTGAGTTCAAGGTGTTGAACTTGATCTTTGATTGTGAGCTTAACCAAATGACATAATAGTTTATCTGTGTTGTATACTTCTTGTAAGTTCTCCTTCTGTGTTTGTTCTTCTGCTAGGAACATCATATTTGCCACAAGTTGTGTCATGTTAATTTTTATGTGAAAATCAATTTCTCGAGTTGTTAGAATTACAAATGACATAGGTAATTAGTCTGACATAAAAATATAAAATATTTGCATAATTGTATACTATCTTTTAGAATGAGAATAATATTTAAGTTTTAAAAATAAAATTTTCATGATTCTATAAGAAAATTCAAACACAATAAAAGTAAATTCATGTTTCTCACTTTTAGCGGGGAAGCTAATAACCATTTAAAGCGGGGTCACCAATTTGGTAACGTAAAAAAAATTTCTTAATAATTTCTTCGAATTATAGTAAATGATTAAATTAGCTCTTACTAATCTTTTTTAAATTAATGTTTTCTTAAAGTATAATTTTTTTCAGTAATAAAATAAATCGAGCCAAAAAGAATTTCATAAATATAAATCTTTTAAATAATATAATGTAAACAAAAAAAGTATATATATAAAAACGAGAAGGCGATGAAAGATCGAGGGAAAATACTATCCCAATATCACAAAATACCACCAATCCGCATGTATAGATTTCACCCAATATCTATTCGACCCTAGGTGAGAGGCAAATTTTCTGAGGACGTTTACATAAATACCACCCAAATCTTTTGTATTTACATATCTAGCACCAAAATTTTAATTATTACATATACACCACTTAATTATTTTATATTACTTAAAATCTCATTATTTTAGCTTTTTAAAATGTGACATACAACTTTTCATTCATAAGGATGAGATTATGTATGTAAAAATTAATGTTTTCTCACAATAAAATTATGGAGCTAGAAATCTCTTAATGAAGAGCTCCAATTTGCTAATGTGAGTAAATGTCTCTATAAAACTACTTTTTATATTAAGTAAAAAAAAATCACTTTTAACTTTTAAAAAGTCGAATACACATTATTGTGTTAATTAATACACATAAGAACTGAAGTTTAGGTATGTGCTAGATATGTTAATTAATACATAAAATTTGAGTGATATAAATGTTAATCTTCCTAATCAAAATGAATCCATATCATTAAAACAACAACAATTAACCACAATAAATAATAATCAATATATGATTGAACAATTATTGAAACATATTTTTATAATATTTAAATAGTGAAAATACTCTGATCAAACATCTTTAAATTATACTTGAATGATAATCAAATAATGATCAGATTATGATTAAACAGTAACTGAATCAACTTTAAATCTCGTTGTACCATGATTGAATCATCTATAAACGTTCAAAGATGATTTAATAATGACTCGATGAAGATTTAAAGGCTATTGGAAGATTAGTCTAGCCATGGTTGAAGATAGTTTGAAGATGCATAATTAGGGTATAATTGCTATCCCAAGTTTGTATTTAAAAATTATTGAATTATGATTTAATCATAATCTGGAAATTAGGTGATTCTAGCAAGTTTCTAACATGTACTTTAATGTATATTAACATTTTCTTTGGATTAGCATAAAAATATTATATTTAATGTTTAAATGTTGGTGCCATTAAATATTATATTTAAAACATTAAAACATTAAAACATTAATGTTTTAATGTTTTAATATTATATTTAAAGCTGCCACCATCCTCAGATGGTGGCAGCTTTCCTACCGCTCCTCGCCTTGAAAGCAAGCGGATCCAAAATCTGGAGGAGGAAAGAAACAATCGGAGAAGAGGGAGGCCATGGCGGACTCCGCAAGAGTCGTTCCTCGAGTCAAGCTCGGGTCTCAAGGGCTCGAGGTCTCGCTCCAGGGACTGGGGTGCATGGGTATGTCTGCCTTCTATGGCCCTTCCAAGCCCGAGAAGGACATGATCGATCTCATCTACCACGCCGTTCATTCCGGCGTCACTTTCCTTGATACTTCCGACTTCTATGGACCCTACACCAACGAGATCCTTCTCGGGAAGGTCTTGATCTTATAACTCTAGTTACTCTTTATAAGCCTCTTTTATTAGTTAGGGTTTTAGCTGAGAGCTTCGCAATTTGATTTGCATGATTTTTGTTCGATGTAGGCTCTGCGAGAAGGGCTTAGGGAGAAAGTTGAGCTCGCGACCAAGTTCGGAGTCAGAAGCTACGATGATGGGAGCTGGGAAATTTCAGGGGAACCTTCTTATATCAGGGCGGCATGCGAGGAGAGCTTGAAGAGACTCGGTGTTGACTGCATCGATCTGTATTACCAGCATCGGGTTGACACGCGTGTCCCCATTGAAGTTACGGTACGTTTATTCTTCCACTGTTAAGAAAAAAATAAATGACGACAATAAAATAAAATATGGATCGAGAAAATTACACCAGAAAAGGCGACACCAGATTTACGTGGTTCGGCAAATTTGACTACGTCCACGGAGCTGCTGCAGAGGATTTTGTTTTCTTGCCACCTGATGAAGGAAGAAAAAGTAATTAGCTTTTCTGCCTTAAGAAAAGGAAAAAGTAATTAGCTTTTTATTTCTTTTTCCTTCTTCACACTTTCGCCGAAAGAAGGAGAGCAGGTTCATCTTCCTCCTGCCAACCGAAGCTTTTTAAAAGAGCTTCCCGTTTGACCCATAAGGCAGGCATCGCGACGCGAGATCGAGTGGAGGAGCGTGGGAGAATATTTGCGGAGATCTTCACGCGGTCACACGGTTTAACAAAGAAGGAAAGAAGCAGGAGATTAGGCGTACAACAGAGATTAAGGAAAGTTATTAAACTTAATTTTCGATTTAATAACTTGCCTAAGCTGCAGTGGACAAGGCTCTACTTTCTCAACAATTCTCCCACTTGGAGACTGAGACACTGATTGTATCCCATTTTCCTCAAACGTGATATCCTCCACCTCTACAACTCAAAACCTCTGTCTTCAAGCTAGAATGCCAACTGAAGTCGAACACAACTTCAGTTTCTCAAGTGTGACGCCCTTGGTTAACATATCAGCATGATTCTTGCTTCCACAAATTTTCTCAAGTAGTAATTGTCCGTCATCTAACAATGATCGAATAAAGCGAATAAAGTGATATAAAGTGATATCTGAACTGGATGTGCTTGGTCCTGGATTGAAATGTTGGATTTCTAGCTAGAAATATGGTGCTCTGGCTATCACTGTAGAGAGTACCTTTCTGAACCTCCTTACCTAATTCCGTCAGGAAACTCTGCAACCATATCATCTCTTTAGCAGCTTTTGACACTGCAACATACTCAGTCTCTGTAGTGGCCAAAGAAACTGTCTGTTGTAGATTAGAGCCCCATGACACTACAGTACCGCCAAGAGTATAAACATAACCTGTAGTATTCTTCCTACTGTCAATGTCTCCAGCTAAATCTACATCGACATAACCCTGTATCTCTAGGCTCTTTCCTGAGAAACACAAACAGATTTCTGAAGAGCCATTTAGATATCTCAAAATCCACTTCACAGCTTCCCAATGTTCCTTCCCTGGATTACTTATGTATCTGCTCACAACTCGCACTGCATGGGCAATATCCGGTCTGGTACAGACCATAACATACATAAGTGAACCAATAGTTCAAGCGTAAGGAACCTTACTCATGTAATCTTGTTCCTCCTCTGACTTGGGTGATTGATTTTTGCTAAGTCTGAAGTGACTGCCTAAAGGTGTGCAACTGGCTTGACACTGTTCATATTGAACCTGCTAAGCACCTTTTTCACATATTCAGCCTGTGAAAGTTTCAACATGCCTTTGACTCGACCTCTAACAATCCTCATCCTAAAGATTTGTTTTGCCGCTCCCAAATCCTTCATTGCAAAGTGCTCTGACATCTGCTTCTTCAAATTATTGATCTCATAAATGCTGGCCCCTGCAATAAGCATATCATCGCATATCATCCACATACAACAAACATACAACAACAGAATGATATAGGAATGGTCAAAGTACCTGACATAGCAACAGTGATCTGTCTGACATCTGCTGTATATGGTATTTTGCATGAAATTATCAAACTTCTTGTACCATTGTCTAGGAGCTTGCTTCAGACCATACAAGCTCTTCT